CAAGCTTGTTTTGAGTTAGGAAAACTGACGATTATTTTATGGGAAAAAGATGCCGGCGACGGTAGGGTGTAGGACCGATACCGTCTTAGCGTTTCGTTCTAATAGTTTGTTGTTGTTATAATGTTACTGACTGTATTTCAGTAACGTTTGTTTTTGTTGTATAATTATCCCAAGTCCACTGAATGAGAATGTTGGCTTCAATTCATTTCCCTCAGAAATTGAGATTGCACCAATAGTCTACATCGCAATGATGCAGAGACTGACTACGGCACAACACATTTAGTAAGATGAACAATTTGTCCATCTTCTCGGTTTCGAAAAATTCTGTAGCTGTTTGATGTTTCCATTTTCCAATTTTTAATATAGTTTGTTTCCAAGTAACACAGGGAGTTCAGAGGTTCAACACCTACATCTCCCTACACTAAACTGAACTGAACTTGAGATAACCTGTGGATCGTTTCATATATTAAATGATTGTAGAGGGTTTTACGGGTGGGGTAACGCACAGGATGAAGAACGGGCGGAATGTAAAACGACAGGAAACAAATTTCCGCCGGCTGTCTTACTGTATGTAATCATGTGGCAAGGAAAGTATGCGCGATAACCTAAAAATAGGCAAAAAGCAGTTTTCAAAGATAACAGATTTTGAATAAACCACCGCTGGCAAGTTTACATTCATTCAGGAATACCAGCAAATTTCAACCAATAGGAACGGCGACTTTCAAGTAACGTTTGCAGTCACACAGAATTGTGGTGTACATATTTGAGGTGCAAGCTTCATGGGGTCCTACACCCTACCGCTGCTACGATGCTCGGCATTAATGCGCAAGTTAATTGAAAGGCCATATTTGTCTTGAAGAATTTCAATAACTATACGCCCTGGCTTGTTCACCGAAGACACCTAAGGTGTTTTATGGAGCCGAGGAAGCTCTGGGCTGGAAAAAAATAACAAGGTGAGTACAGGGTAATGCGTTTGGCATACTGCCTACTGGACTTATTTCATGTATTCTAAGTACCGTCGCACTGCTCAATGACGACATAAAAATTGAATCGCAAAATCTGTCTTCTTTTGTGTCTTTCACGCACCACTCACTTGTAGACACCACCTTTGTGAATATTATCCGATCGCCTTCTTCCAACTTTTTCCTATGAAGTCTGCAAAAGGTAGCACGTCAGCCAGAAGACTTGAAAAATCTCTAATGGGAAACTCCCGTGCTCAGCTTTGAGAATACATTTTGAACTAGATTCGGAGGACTCATGTTTGAGAGTATATTAAAGGATTATTTTATCGAAAATCACATATGACTATCCGGATCACTACACTCAGTAGTCCAATCAATCCTTCGCCTCCAGTTTTATAGTTGAAATGCAGACTGAAACCGGAGGACGGACAGCAACCACTCCAAAGTAAGTTGCGATAGACATTTGTCTTAGAGCTTTGTTGGTATTTTATTATTGTTATGCAATGATAAAAGTCTAACCAGGTCGTTCTTCAGCAATTTCAGGTGGTAAGGAACATATTTATTAGTACAGTTTGTATCTTTGTAATGATCGTTCTCCTTCGCTTCCATTTGAAAACTCTTAACTTCTTAAATACCCTGCTTTTTCAGTTCTAAATTAAAGCATCGCGTGATGTTCTCGTAGTGTTGATTAAAGCCGTCCTTGGTTGCGTAACGCCAGCGACGCTTGCACTCTTTCGTTTTCCACGAACTTCCCAAGTCAGGTAATTCTTAGTCATGAATAATTCGTGGCAGGCAAACCGTCGACTGTTCAAACCAGGCGGCCATTTTGACTTGAATGCGCATACAGTCATGTGACATCAGCGCCAAAATTTCATCGATCGATGACGTGCGGCATTGCGTTCGACAGCCGCGATGGCCAAGGACCAAACCATGTAAGCGCGTCCGTTTTCTCCTGGTATTTCCCTGTTTTTGAATTTCTTTGAGCAAACAATTTCAAGCCAACCAATCAACCCCGCATACTTCTTTTATTTTCGTTAAATTATTGCCCCCACATCCGACACTGAAGCGTGTATGAACGGGTGATTGAAATAAAACGAATGACGCCAAGGCGAATACGGAAGAAACAAAAAGGATTTAATTTGATTCGACCCTATCCAATCAACCCCCGCATGAACATTTAGGTCTGGAATTTTTGCAGAGACGACTAAAATCCTCTTACTTAACGGAATTTTCGCTCTTTAAAACCACTACCCGTGTGTAACAAATGTAATCGGGCTTTCTCGTCAATAAGACGTCAGATTTCTGTTGCCAATGGGACTGGCGGTTTTTACAAAACGGAACGGTAACATGCCTGATCACCTTAAAACTTTCAGCTTGAAAATAGCGCCCGTCGTAAATAATTCAGTGCGCAAACAAGAAGGTTCCTGAAATACGCCATCGCTCTCGCTTTGTTTTACGCCAAATAAGGCTTATAAAACGTTTAAAAATGAAAGGTTTTATTAGTTGCTGATGTTTCTGGCTTGATCTGCCCGTTAATGTTAATCACATTCTTTTTTTATGATGAAAGAAACGCCATGACACCTATGAGAACAATTTTATTCTAAACATTTTGCCTTGAACACACACTGACATGTCCACAATTCATGCGGTTCGTAATTTTTGATATAAGGGACCTTAAGGAAACATTTAGGGAGGTATAAACGGGCACCTTCTCTTGGCCGAATCTTCGAGCACGTTGCCCGCGGCCAATATTTGATATCATTCAACAACCAGTCTGTAGAAATCTGCAAGTGTAAAGCCTGTGAAAATCTCCAGTTATCGATTTGGAAGAACTCCAGTCGGGCTAGAAATGTTGTGCGGAATGGTCGCTTTCCCTAGTTGCTTCCAGCGTTTCATTCTCCCAGAAGATTTTCAGGTCGGCTCCGGTTGGGGAGGAACATGCCGCGGTGCATCATGAATAAACCGTGAATAATGTCATGTCAGCAACCACGCTCTTTCTTTGTCAAAGGTTGATAAAGAAACGAACCGATTCCACAGAAGCCCTTCTTGACCTCCGCCTGCATCCGCCTCCAAGCGCACCTCACCAACTCTCGCCCTTGATACTGACGCTGTTCATCGTGTTCAATGGGCAGTCTGTCATGTCAGGATCTAAGCCTGCAACATTTAAGATATGAACATCGTAGTTTGCGCAAGGTGTCTACTCAGATCCTAACCAATCATTAGCATGAGCATTTTAGGAAGGAGTTGTACCTTGCTCCTACGACTGCCGGCAAAAAAGTTCGCCCTTAACTTAAAGACGAGATTGAGCTGTTCGCTATCGAAGGTGAGACGAGCAGAGACGGCAGCCTATATATTTTATGTCAATAGGGATTTTAAAATAACACACAGATTAGGACAGAATTATCCAACAACAACTATTTTGTGATGCAAACTGTCGGCAGACCAAATTTACACGGTCGGACATATACGACTGGCACAAAAACTAGTCGCGATCTGTCACAGTTTGCCCAAAACTGCTTTCTTGGGTGCTGGAAGTGCACTGTCCGGAAGCAAAGGATCCTCCTCATCTCCCCCTGTTAACTCCTTCCTCATTTGCGTACGCTTGTATATGAGTTTTCCTCGATGCATCGCACGCTAGCTGCGACGGAATTCAATGATTATTCACTAGAAAGGCCTACAAACACGGGGCATCTGTGGTACATCACTTCCTCCAAACCATTAAAACAGGAAGACAATATGGCGCCCTCCTGAAGTCCTTTGTACCCTTTAGCCCAGTAAATGGGGACACCAGCCATCTTCCTCCTCCTGCCCCCCCCCTTCGCACTCGCGACATATTGATGAAGATTACAGTCTGCCTACCTAACTTCCTCCTCCTCCTCCCCCTCCTCCTCCCTCTCCACCCTCCGTTCGCATTCGTGACGCATAGACGAAGATTACAGCCTGTCTATCGCTGGCCACATTCCTCTCGGTCCTTTCATCTGACGACGGGCTGTTGTCTACTATTCAAAAGATCTTGGTTGTGACTGCCAGGCTCCGAATAGCGTTTCTTTTTTTCTACGAAAGTAGAGATGAGGTTTGTACACAGGCGTAGGAACCCGGTAACACAGGTGGCCTTACGTGTCCGGTTAGGACACGGGAATAGGCACCATTCCTGGAATGGCAAGGCAATCTTTATTACTAAAGGATTTCCTATTATCGTGTCCTACCGAGATGAGCCAGCGTTGCCCCACAATAACTGCATGAACAAAAACTAATCGGAGTTAGAGTCTACAGCACCATAGTAATGGCCCTCTGTCTTCGTTCAGCTGGTCCACCCTGATTGGTTGATCTCTTGTGCGGGCACGTGGACACGCGTCATCTGTGAATACGGGCCTTGAAAGTTCGTTAAACACAGGGGAGAGTCTAGGCGGAGGGGTTTTCACTATGAGGAGATTTCGGTAATCGTCTACCAATGCCATACGCTGGATGGATTCACGCATGTGCGACCTTCGAAGATATTCTGTAGAGCTGTGCGGATGTCTTTGAATATTTGCTATATTCCAGCTGTTCCACTAGCATTCTGTTGGAACGATGCAACAAAATCTGTTCAATTTTGGTGGAGAGACGCTCACCGATCGCGATATGGAACACATTCGTCCCGTTGTGCCTTGGGGTTCTCTCTCGAGCCCGCCAGCGGCCGCACAGTGACGCGTAATATAGGCAGAATAGCATGATTGGGGAACGTCCCTATGCCATTGTATGTAGCCCATCACAGCCGGCAGGGCAATGAGTTCCTGTCTCAGGCGTTAAAGGCGTTGGACTTCTAACCAACAGGTCGGGAGTTGGAGCCTCGGGTGTTCCACACTTCGGGGTTGGGTACGACTGACTGACGACGGCTAAGAATCCGGAAATAATCATCCTAGTCTGTTTTGTCTTTGATGGTCCGCCTGCTCGTTCTGCACTACCTTAACACATCCACTAATCGCGCTCATAAATGCCACATGTCCGCTAGGATAACTGGTGATTCCCTGCATTTAGCATCCAAAACATTCCATAGTAATGGCAGCCGCTCAGCAAGGAAGTTATCTTGCAAGCATACGCAAACGGTAAGTTCCTGTCACTCATGCATGCTTCATTTATTCGGTGCGGTGGGATTGTGAGTCGTGTTTCTTCCTCGTGCGATTTGTGCCCATAATCCTAACACTGCCGCTTTAAATTTAACACGGACATGGCCACGATCGTCATCGCAACCGGCGGGTTTTGCGTCAGTCATATTAAAAGGACTGCGGTCGGGAAATTTTAGCTGCTTGCAGAGGTGTCCCACGTAAAAACAAATGCCGTCTTTGCAGTCCAGTCTTCGTTATTTCTGCGGATTCGAAAATTCGTTCTCTAGGAACTCTCCTGCAGTAAAATGGAGTATCAACAATAACCTAAAAGTTTGCTTGACTTCGACGCCGCGTCAATGTATATAGGACGGGCCCAAATGACGCTCAAGGGGATGTTCACTTTGACTTCTGTAGGATAACAAATAATAAAACCACAAAATAATAATATATACGAGAAAAATTTAGCCGTAGTTAGGGATGTTGCGTTTAACCCACGAATTGTGGCAAAAAAGAATAAAAAACGGCAAAGATGAATTGTTGTGCAGACTCGCGAAAGGTAACGTCCTCTCCAGTGCAGAATTGTTATGGAGAGAGGATCTCTATGGGTAATTTCCATAAGCTCCAAACCGGTCCTTGATGGCACATTTTGTCGCCCGGGTGAATGAATGTCCGTTAAAGTGTGACTGCGTAGCAATTCCTGGGTGTTTATAGCGCCTGACTAAAAAGGGTTCGGACACACAACTCAAAACCGATTGTTTTGTGCATTTTAGCATATTCAAACAAGAGTACAAAAAAGTTTAGGGGCACAAGAAAAGGTGAAGAGAAAAATCGAACATGTACCTACGTTTCTCAAACCGTCTTGCAAATTTGCGCAACGACTGCTAATCGGATACACTTTTTACTACTACTACTACTACTACTACTACTACTACTACTACTACTACTACTAACGCAAGTTTTAATTCTGACAAAAACACCCACTTAAAGGCGAGGGTCTGTTAGGCAGAGCATCACTGATTTTTACCAGACAGTTGATAGCGATCACTTCTCGTTACATTCCCTAATGCATGCTCAAAAAGACAGGGCTATACAGTATGCAGTCAATCTGGAGGAAGGGGGAGTGATCGCACCCGAAGAGCTACTTCACTTTCAAAAATTTGTGCGCAGTCAATTTTGAGGGGATTGGAATCGAAGCCTGACACCTGGGGTTAGAAGCGTAGCCCATTCTGACAATGTACAAAGCGTGCATACAAAGGTGTGTAACTCACTTCCACAAAACAACGTGCTGACAGACACCACTTGGCCAGCGTGATTGGACCCACATAAATTAAAGCGAATTGGCGACAGGAAAAAATGAGTCGTTTACTAGTATCAGATTGGCAAGAAAGCATTTTGATGTGCCATTTTCAGGAACCTTGACTACAGTCGAACTGAGGGACCCTACCCTAGAAAAGGTACGCTTGGCCTTTTTGGTAACGTCAAGCTAACATTTGAATTCACGCTCCCTGACGTCTATAGGTTTCTTCGGTCTTTTTGAAGGAATGTCAAGGTTTACAAAACCTAACGCCTACATAAATGACCTGCGGGACGTTTACCAGCTTACCTAGGATGCGTCACAATGAATCATAGCTTGCCCGCATTCATTAGTGTTCGAACTATACTAATCCCTTTTTTGGGTCGGATCGTATTTAGTTGCCGTACCAGCAGTAGACAAGCCCCAGTCTAACTCCAATCCCTAACCTTAACCCCAAACTGTTAGCTCTAACCCCAAACCGCTAGCCCTAACCCCTAACCCCTAACCCCTAGCCTCTAATTCCTAACAAGTACGGCTACAAAATAAGATCTCGCCAGTTTTTGTTAAGTCCAATATCTTTCTTCTAAGATAGAATAAGTTCTCATTTGTCAGCAAAAGGCTTTTCGAAGTTGTGGTTTAAAGGGAATCACGGTTATCCTGCACACGGATACTAAAGGGCTTCCGTCAAAGTCTTACAATGAGCGATAGGAACCGTCCAGATTGTACCCTAGTCCTCGCTTAATTTTAGAACCCCGAATGAAATCACCGGAGGGTTCTGCAATCTGGGTCCAGAGGCTCCGCCGCTGGAGGAGTTCGTCAAGGCAAAGGCTCTGTTGCAGTCCATGCACTCTGGTGGCCGAGCTCACCATGACAGTATTGACACGGACGGCAAGCAAAGTAGCCTGTACGAGCATCTGGTCAGTTTGGTGAAGTACATTCTGGAATACCAGCCCAGTCATTCTCTGGACCACTTTGAGAGCCTGAGTCTGCTTGTGAAGCGGGAACGAGGTGCGGGCACTGGTGGCTCCGAAATGGCTGCAGGCCTTAAAGAGGAGTCTATGGAGGCCAAGGCACTGACAGTTCAACCTTGCACAGACGAGGTGACCAACGCTATGGCCGAACGAACGCTTTTGAAGGTGAGATATGCCTTACAATTGCATTATGTGTAATGTGCAGTCTGAGTCTACCCACGCCGGCTAGTGGACGCCTGGGAAAGAAAAGATGATAATTCCTCCTTCGCCGGGGCCACATATACCATTTTCAAGACATTCAAATTCTTGCAAAACTTGCTGTCAATAGCAGTAACAAAGAGAAGAGAGTGGTGCTTTCCCAAGGGAACCATAAATTATCCATGAAGACGCTGATTTTCTTTGTTTTAAGAGTGCACTTAGAACTTTTCCCATGCTATCAATTCAAGAGTTGATTTAATATACTCACGTTATGGGTACAAACTAAATTCCTAGTAACGCGTTTCGATGGGGACGGTGAGATGCACGCTGATGGGCCTATCCTCCTGCACAAAGTGGAAAAACACGTGTCGAGAGAATGACAAACCAATCAAGACATGTACTTCTAACTACCTGTATACGGAATGCTAATATCCCTCGGGTACTTCGCTGAAGCTTATGTATTCAACCTTAATTTATATCAGGTAGTTGGCTCAAAGCCAACCGTATTGCAGGCGATCCCTATTTTCATGTTCTGCTAAAGAGGCCATGTAAGTCAGACCCTAGACTCCGGATGAATGGCTTTAGTTTGGGCGTCATCTTCATACTTTGAGGAATGACAATCACCGATCTCACATGGAGCATTGGTTTCACTTAACTCAGGGTCTAAGTAACAGCGATGAATGCGGTCACATACCTACGAGCTCAGTGAAGACGGAAACGGCTCTACGATATTGTTCTAACTCCGCTGTGCTTGGGTTATTGTTTGCCATCGCTTTTCAAATGCCTACCTGACCATCAGATCAAAACGAAACAAAGACGCTATGCGTCGTTAATCCGTGGTCCAGTAGAGAGCAATAGACCTTCAGTTTTAACGTATTTCTGTCCGCTGTCGTGAGTTTATCTAAAACCTTTTCGCTTTTTTTGCCAATTTGATCCTTATTAACACGTGTTTTTTTCTAAAGCACCCTGAGCACGTATGGGATCAGCCTCCAATCGTCGGAGGACCACCGCTGCGTCCTTTTGAGGGCAACTTCGAGGATGACGAGGAAGCAGCCGCGTTGCCAAACCTTTCCAACCATGCCCTCCTTATCGAACAAGCGGGAATAGGTAGAGAATTCATTTCGTTAGATTTTCTCATCTGTGCTTGTCTCGAAGAGGTCACTTTATTTATGCAATACTACTTAAATCTTATTAGTGGGCATTATTTTTATCATAACAGATTGTCTGCCCATCAGTTGTACTTTATACAGCCACCAGCTAAGTGATGCAGTAAAAAAGAAATTTTAAATAAGTATATTTTTTACAGGAGTCGGACGGGAGGAGCTGATGCGCGTATGGCTGGCACTTAGACTACTGCACAAAAAACTGCCCAGTGTAACCGCGCTCCGATTTTGGGGAAAAATCTTCGGCATCAAAGCAAATTACTACATTGCGGAAGCGGAATTTGAAGCCGAGTCTGAGCCAGATGAAGAAGTGCCTGGACCCTGGGATAAATGGCGTCTCCCAAAGCCTCCTAAGAACAAGGGCGATCAGGACCCAACAGATTTTCAAGGTAGGAACATAAAAAAGTATCATCAAACAACTTTCCCTTTCAAGCTCCTCAATACGCAACTACAGTCGAATTTTCCATGAATATTTAAGATAACTTCACTATTCTACTTGTTGTACACAAACTTTGCCTCGGTTTCTTCCGGGATTTGATTTTAGAAGGTGGTGGGTAATGATGACAGACTTAGTATCATTTTTGTTTGCCGGGCACATCTGGCGTTTTTTTTTCTACTAACCTGGAAATCTAGCTAATAATAATGTAATGCGTGAAGCCGCAGGAGCTGCGTTTTATTAAAGCCTCTGCGAGGATCTTACAATAGTCTAAATAGTTCATTTGTTCGTGTCTGTTGCTGCAACACTGTGTCCGTCTGACGCATGCTCGCAGCGAACCATTGGCGGTTGGCTCGTCTGATATTTTGAGGATCTGTCTGGTGCTGCCAACTCGTTTGGCCAATCACTGGCGTCGTGGGTCTCTGCAGGGAGTTCGACCAATCACAGCCATGCAAATCAGCCAATCAGCTCTAAGGCTGACGCGGAAATGCTCCCAGCCACGGCATTCGATCGCGCGTCTCGTGTCAGCTTTTCGACCTGAGCAAAAACAGTCCTTTTTTACAGAACGAAATGGTCTCGCGACTGTTGTCTATTCTCGATGATAAACTATTCTGACGTTTCTTATAAGTGTTTTTTTAGATTCACCGCCCCAGGACTCTACCTTTCGTGTTACTGTTGTTGGGGCATACGGAAAATAACTGCGCTTTTGCCACCAAGCAGATAGTTTCACAGCAGCTCGGGTTGACTCTCGCTACTGTAGGTAGCACGGGCTCTCCGGAAATGAGGTTTTTGGCAAAACTGTTTAAAAACGAAAGCATTTTACCAGACTACCGTTCGGTCCCGCCGTCAGTTATTGAAGCAGTCTATTCCGTCACATTCTTTTCGAAGTTTCTATTTAACATGTGAGCCAAGAAGACATGATGAAAATTGAAAGGCGTCCATGACCCTTATATTTCTTTCCCGAGCATTTTCGGCAAAACCCTCATCTTCGAATTCACCTTGTTTCCACAGTGGATCTTTTGGATGACGAGGAGATTGCCAAACTGCCGCTGGAGAAGCGCGTTCTGATAAAATTACCGAAGAACAAATGGAAGCCTCCCAGTCCTTACCCGTGGGAACCGCGAGGACGTGGCATGAATCGTTGGGACTACTACATCTGCACAGAACTCGGTGATGGCAAGTGGATGCGCCTTCCCATTACAAAGCCAGTGCACATTGAAATGGCGCGTCAAAGCGTCTACATCTTCACTGGCGATCCAAACACGCCTATCGGTCACCTACCAGGTGGGCTGGGTCTATTCCCAGGCCTAGAAGCCCACTACTTGCGAGCACAGATTGCGCGGATCAGTTCGGCCTGTACTGTCTCGCCGGCCGGCGTCTACGAGGTGGACGAGGAGGACGAAGTGGAGGAGGGGGTAAGATGTTCGTGGGGCAAATGTTGTCAGTGTAGCCTTGATCTGTTTCATCTGTTCTCGGCATGAACTGACTGGACTTTTTTCAACAGGAAAAACCGGAATCCCTGCTCCTGGCAGAAGAATATGAGCCGCTGGAATTCACCGAACTCCTCGACCTAGCGAACTGGGTTCACCACAGACCCTACCTCTACGGCATTGGTCGGATAAACTGGATGAGCACGAAGAAGGCGGCGAAGGCCTACAAGGCCCTGATGGCTGAAGAGGAGGGTGAGGAGGCCGAGCCGGAGGACGAAGAGGAGATGGCGGAGGAGGGGGAGGAGGAGGAGGAAGAGGAGCCGGAGGAGGGTCCGGATTTGCTCACGCCTGTCGAGGAGGATCAACCAATGCGCCCAATCGGCAACATTGGTCTCTCTAGGATTGGCTCACCGGGGGAATTCTTAGCCCCGGCCTGGCGCGTACGTCCATCCACCGTCTTGCTGCCTGCAAACTGTGCTGTCGCGGTACTTAGCAACGTGCGCTGGCCGGGAGCGTACGCAATGGCTCGTAAGGAGTAAGTGCGCTTTTGACAGTCAAGATAACACACGCACGAAGTCAGTATGTTGGATCACATCCGATTCTTGCACCACCTTTAACGGTGGGCAAATGGGTCTAAGGCCCTCTTCGTCAGGTAGGAGCCGAAGTGTTGGTGGCTCAATTGGATGCTGTTTGCTGATAGTTTAGCCATTACTACACTACGAGGACCTTTGCAGGATCAAAACTGAAATTCTTAGGCAAAATGGATAGCTCTTATTTTGCTAGAAGGAATACCTGGGATACAGGGGCGCTCATCAACTAACCGGCCACACCCGACCCCGAGTCTAGGTGACCTGGGATTCGAGCACGGAAGACTGGGTCATTGCTCCTTAGGTAGTTCAACATTGTGGTGCCTGGTTTTGATTGCGAATAGCAGCTACTGTAGGATAAACGTTCATCGATCCGGTTAAAGGACATGGTTGACCCGTTACGACTTGGTGCTCAAGCTACAGCCCTCGCAGAGGATGATGTTGGATCCGTTTCCGATACCCGCTGCCAGAGGATGGGACCACAGTAGATGGCATTCCTTACGAAATATTAATTGAAATTGTAAGCTAAGATGTCAGTTAGGAGACATTGCTTAATTACAATTGTAACATTTATCACCGAAATAATAAAGTATTTTAGTCACACCTGGATGCCGGCTTCTAAATATGTCTTTCCGATCCCAGGAAAAAAATCACATTCGCTAAAGAAATACTGCTTAAGCAGTGTGCGATGTTCCCATTGTTCTCAATACCCTTGTCAGTCAGAATATATCATACAGAAAACATGCACGAAAATTTAGTTTATTGCGCTTAGTTTGTAGTCCATCATGTCTTTAGATTTTGTACTTGAAGAAAAGGTGGTCCTTGGTCTCAAAAAGCCAGGAATTATGAAGTTTTTTTTAGGATAGCGGAATGCTTGTTTAAACCGAGTCGTTGGTTTCAACCGCCGCCTCTGTTGAAAGGGTTCAAATTAGACTGCTCAATCGAATATGTCAAGCTTATTGAAAATAAAGAAATCCTGTTATGTGTTCGCAGACTTCTGGCAGTGAAATTCAAATACATTTCGACAGGGTACCAATATTCTAAGTGAAACGAATTAATATATTCGAATATTGAAGGAAGGATAAGCTAAAAAACCCTACAATCTCCTTGCAAACTCGTATTTTATCTCAGGCTTAATTGAAACTTGAGAAAACGAATTGGTCAGAAAAACTGTGTAAAATGAATTAAGTGCGAGTCTCCGTGATTTGCACTTTTGCAGGACGATAATCCGTCTAGGCGCACAAACATGTCTCGTTGACCTGACTGATGAGTAACGTAAATTTCGACCAATACCTGACTGTCTGCAAAGAGCAGGGTGCATGTGTAAACCACTTTATTGTAATAAACCACTTCAACTGCATAACATGTTGCATCAAAGTGCCTAAACTCATAGTTTTGTGTTAGGCCTGTTTGTAGAGTCAAGACATCATCAAATTTATTTTTAACAATTTATTTTGCCCCTTTGGAGTTACATAAGATTAAAAAAAACAAATAGCTTTATTGAGCCGTGTGCTCCAATGTCACAGACGCCCGAATATTCCGCCTATTACCTGTACTGTTTGATTTCTGCAAAATACCAACCGTTCACTTTTTCTCTCCCAGAACTTTTGTGAACATCTACATCGGCTGGGGCACTAAGGTGCTCGGTGCCAGCTACATGCCCATCCGTTCAGCCAATCCGGCTAAGGAGTTTGACGAGGAGGCCACGCCACTGCAGGAGGCGGTGGATCCGACACCCCTGCAGGAGGAGGAACTGCGTCTGATGAAAGAGGCCAAACGCCTGGCGGCAGAGGCTAAAGCCGAAGAAGGCGAGGAGGAGGAAGAGGGAGACGAAGACTGAAACCGGGTCATAGGTTACTTTGTCTTAGGACCATCGACTACGTGTATAGTTCAGCGCGTTCATAATGTTTTACTTAATAAACTCTACTCACAAATGCTAAGTAGACAGTTTTTAATGTCTGATACGGCCTACTGCTGTTCCAGTTCTCATACCCTCTCTGATTTATGAAGTCTATCCTCTTTTTTCAAATAATTTTCTGCCTTTTTCTCCCACTCGATCTTTTTATAAACCTACTTTTATCTTTCTCGATACCCGCATCTCCTTCTGTTCGACTCTCTATTCAGTTATTTTTAAATTTCCTTCACTACCTTCACAAAATCCACTCGTTTCCATACCCCATATCCTCCTCCCCTTCATTCTCCTCCTCTTCCTACTCCTACTCCTTCTTCTTCTTCTTCTTCTTCTTCTTCTCCTTAGTCTGCCCGATGATGACGTGATCCGTCGTATTCGAGCTCTCAGTCACAGCGGTTTAATCGCCTGTGCTGGTGATTGGTGCAACAGCAGCTCGGCAGTTATGTTCCATGACACCGTCACCAGTCAGTATGCTCCTCGCTAGACAGAACTTCCAAAACTGGATGATACTGGCGTTTCTCTGGGCTCTTTTTCACGTGGTACATGAACTGCCCATCCACTAGTAAACGTCTGACAGTCCAATGATGGCCAGTTCAGTGCATCGTTCCCAAAAAAATTCCGGATACATACAAGTTTCAGGAACCAGGTTGGAAACGGTAATTCAGTCAGTATGATTTACGCTCGTATTCATTATCGTTGCCACATCAGGCATGCAATATTTAAAATAAATACTTAATCAACCACTGTGGCTGACTTTACATCCAGTGTGAACACCCGGTGACGAAGGTACCTTCTATTAGTCCAGAAATTGGCTAATCCCTTGGCGTGCCTTCCATTCGATCACAAATTTGTAGCTCAGGTGATTACAGCGTCAACAGTAGTTAAGCCTTGCTTTTGCCACCGTAGGTTTGAATCACATCTACGCAGCCGAGAGTTTCACAGTCGTGTCAGTTGAATTAAGAACATGCTATCCTCTAGCACTTTGCGTGGCCGAGTTGGTAAGATTAACTAAAGCAGTGATTTTCACCGTTCTTCAACTGCTCAAGCCAGAAGGACTAGGATGTACATCATGGAAATTTCCGGTTATGGCTGTTTTTTTATATCGTCAGCACGTGCCTGCATGCGGTGACTCAGCTGTTTTTACTCACAGTTTAAAACGCCGCTGTCTTCTACGTACCCATTAACTCGAAGGATGCCCTGAGCAAATAAGCCTTGTCACAACTGCCACTGCTATCAAAATAACCGACGAGGATTAATGCGTAGGCGCACTTAGAAATAGAACGCGGAGACGCCTGTACCACGGTGAGGATGGTGATATCAGGCAAAATAGCATGACTGACAAAAGACAAGAGAGACTGAAATGGCCATTTCTGTCTTATTAGCCATAATCAGCCAGCCATACCCATCCCCGAAGTGTGGACCACCTGGGGCTCAATTCCGTGACCAGTTGGTTAGAAGTCCAATGCCTCTAACCACTGAGCCACTGTCCTGCCGGTTGTGCCCGGTTAAACGATCGGTGAGCGTCCCTCTGCCATTGTGCATTCCAGATCTCTACCAACAGGACAACGAGCCTGCGGCGCAGTAGGTACACAGGTTGGACTTCTAGCGAACAAGTAAGGAGGTCGAACCCTAGGTGTTCCATTCTTCAAAGTTGTGTATGGCTATCTGACGACGGCTAAAATGCCAGAAACGGCCATTCCAGTATCTCTCGTACTTGTTGGCAATAACATTCTACCTATACCATCCGCCGCTGTGCGACTGCTGGTTGGGATCGAGAGAGAGCCAGAAGGCACAACAGGAGGAGTGACGTCCGTAGAAACGATCGGTGAGCGTCCCTCTACCATGATAATATCAGTTTTGCCAGTAATTCAGATGTATGTTGCAATAAGCGAAGTCTGTGTAGAGCAATCAGGCAACTAGTATTCCAGCTATATGGTTGTCTTACTACTTCGATGAGGTGCCGGAACAGACCGCGCAATCTGAAATATGCCAACTAGGAGCGTGCAAACGGACGGAAAACAGGTAATCCAAGCTTATTAATTAAACAAGGTCAGTTTGCAGGAGACACACTCAACCTCTACCCTAACTCCGACTGGAACGCTTTCCCTAAACCTAATCTTTAACCTGACCCTCACTTTAAATCGCATCCTAGCCCTGATCGCAGCCCTAATTCTCACTTGCAGCATCATTGAGTGATGAGCAGAGCTGCCCACATATTAAAACCGAAACATGAGGCAGGACCGTCCGCAGTACGAGAATGTTGGCAATGATGACCTCTCAGGCGATGAGACGCGGGGCTCCCACATACCTATTGCATGACCGATCTCATGAAATGTTGGCCGAAATTCTGAAATGCATTTTCAGATAGGAAGGAATTACTAGTTGGCATTGTAATATTGATTATTATGCGACATAATCCTATAGTATTTAGGACTTGTCAGAATGACGAATTTTGAATGAACTACTTTTTGACCTCCTGCGGGAACCAAACTCAGCAAAAATTGACTACTTAAGTGGCACACATTTTTTCACATTGATTTTCGATGGTCTTGCACATTCAAAGATATTTTATAGAAAACATGCACAAAAATATTCTTTCTTTCGATAATTTGGTGGAAAACCACATTGCCTTTGTATGTTATACCCTAACAAAGTTTATTATCTGGTTTTGAAAAAGGTTTTCTGATTCCCAAATAATTTTGAGGTTGATTTGTCGTTGCATTAGCGTTTATCCATTTTGGACTAGAAGGTGCATGCTTTCCGAATAAGGAAAATCATATATTCCTCTATGTCTTTAAGAGGATATCGGTCAGAGTTCATTAAATTTTGCAGAGGATGCGGACTGTGCTGTACATTTCATAAGGTGCATTGGTAAACGGACAGGTAGAATGCTGTATGGGTGAGCATTGTACGGTCTTAAAGTCTCATAATTAGAATCTTTTATACTTATGCTTATTTATACTCCTTCTTCGAGCACATAGAGATGACGTGATTCTCTATCAAACGGCTGAAAGTACGCATATTTTGTTTGTAGTTCCTATAAAATACATTTGAATTTGCAAGACCATCGAGAATCAATGCGAAATAATGCATGCCACTTAAGTAGTCAATTTTTGCTGAGTTTGGTTCCTGCAGGAGGTCGAATAGAAGTTCATTCAAAAGTCGACATTCTGGTGAGTCCTAAATACTATAGGATTATGTGGCATAATAATCAATCTTTCAACGCCACCTAAGTATTCCTTCCTAACCGAAAACGCATTTTAGAATTTCGGCCAACACTTCATGAGATCGGTCACGCACTGCATATATAAGAAGAAGAAATATATTTGCCGCAAGCCTGTTGCGGTACATAAAAGGCAATTTAGTACAGAATAATTCCACCCATTAACTATGGCGTAAGAAGACCTGTAGAACGGGAGTGGTGATAAAAGTGGTCTTCTGGGCAATGAAACATGGTGTTCTTAAGTGTATAAAAGTGAAAAAAATCAACTCTGCGCTGCACGTCTCTTTTACTGCATAACAGGGCAGTTTTGTGGTCAGATTGTTCAAGAGAGGAGTACGATTATCCGTGAAATGACGAAAACGATGTTGTATAAAGACTTCTCTCCGAATTTACTAGCTGTCTCGTAAATAAGACAACGTCCTGGGTGTTTAGGTCAAGACAGTACTCAGGAAGCATGTCCTGACGGTGAATTGTTGATTTAGGAGGTTTAACTGGTAGGAGACGACTCCACGACAAGCTCACTTGAACAGTCAGCTTCCTGACCGGAATCTGGGTGCCCCGCCCAAGAGGCTACCAGCATTACCTGCGCCGACTGTGTGAGTTAGTCAGTGTTGTGTTTTTTTAACATGCAGTATAAATAGTAGTCCGTAATTCGCCTGGATTTGCGATGCCAGGCTCGACGAGAGCATTGATTATGTGGGAGGTGGTTGCGAACTGGAAGTTGGGTGATCTCCTGTCATGCATCACCTGTACATTCATTTTGTTCGAGATCATCTTTTTTCAGATTTGTCGGCGAAATTGGGAGGGATAATAGTGAAACAGTTGATCAGAAGAAAAAGAAGCGGTCGCTGGAACAAGGGCTTTATTCGCCTGACGTTTCGGATTCTCACTTGAACCCATCATCAGAGACAGTGGCAGAAATGGGTCACTGTCTGCCACTGTCTCTGATGATGGTTTCAAGTGAGAATCCGAAACGTCAGGCGAATAAAGCCCTTGTTACAGCGACCGCTTCTTCTTCTTCTGATCAACTAGTGAAACGGTTGTAGGAGTTTTGCAGCTTGACAAGCAAATCTTAGAAATGCTGTATTGAAGTTGTAGGTGCTCCTACAAAGAGCCGAGCGCCAGATGCGATGGACCAACTTGGAGTCCACACCAGGACAAGACAGGCGCACCTATAACAAATGTCACATATGGGGGTATGGTGGCACGCCTAGGTGTCTTCTAAAACCCCGCCAGGGGATTGGCTATTTGGACAACATGTAGATAAAATTTAATGAAGTGCGCATTCCGCGCAGTCCAAAAAACGAAAAAATGTACGCACAAACATCATGTTGGTTAGGTAACATAAGCATGTAGCAAAGATAGGACCATCATAGAAACAAAAGGAAATGATAATCTTGATGAAAATACAGTAACATTGTATTACTGACAAAGACAATGGAGACTAGAATGGACATTTCTGGCTTATTAGCCATCGGCAGCCAGTCATACGTAACCCCGAATTGTGGAACACCTGGGGCTTGATCTCGCGACCTATTAGCTAGAAGTCCAAACCCTCTAACCCTTGAGCCACGCGCTCGTTGTCCTGTCGTTTTCGACCGGAAATGCACAATGGTAGAGGGGCGCTCACCGATCGTTCTTACGGAACTCACTCGTCCTGCTGTGCCTTACGGGCGCTCTCTCGAGTCCCAGGCATTCCACACTT